GACAAGTCAATACCATTCACTTCACCTGTCACTGGGTTTAATGCTGTAGCCGATCAGCGCATGTGTGTGTGTGCTTACATCATTTCTATATTTATTGTAGAGACACAGAAGCTCAGAAACACAGAGTTCATCAAAGAATTGCGAATACTTACATTTGAGTTAAATTACACAGGTTGTCGCATATCCGTTCTTCTATGGTGGTGATTTGGTTGTTGCTCAAATCACTGATAGAAACAAAGAGACAAATCACTGTTGACATTAAAGCAAAAAGTCTTTCTCCTTCACTTTTTCAGCAGCACACATTTCTGGTAATTACCGTCGTGTTGTCATTTCACTGGAGTTGCGTGTGCCTGGAGTTGTCGCTGAATGACAAGCTTGAAGCCAATCATTGTGTAATTTGTTGAATGAAACATTTTCTCCTCCATTATTATCTAATCTACACTGATGCAAAGTGACATTTAGAGGTGTTTATCAAAGAAAGGGGCATTCTCACGTCTTTGTTACACAAAAATGACTCAGAAGAACTATAGAACAACGCAGAAAGGAACGATTAAACAACAATACAACCTCAATCCTTGAACTACTGAATTGCTGAGCTTTCAAAATTTTTATATTTCTCCCTCCTGTTTCCATCCATCCCCATTGTTTCCATCCTCCTCGCTTTCTTTCCCCCCCTTTTCCTTCTCTCTCCGTCTTCTCCCTTTTCCTTCTCCACTCATGATCTCCTCCTCGCTGCCTCCCTCCTCCATCCAGAAGGCTACATAATGGGGCCGTTGTGTGGTGGTTTTGGAAGGAACTGATGGAAACCATCAGAGTCTTCTCTCATCACACACACACACACACACACGCACACACACCCACACACACACACACACGCATGCACACAAACATGTGCTTAAACGGCCATTGAATGGGTGGAAGAAGTAAGGTAATGGACGGAGGAAGGGGGGAGATCGACAGATGGAGAGAGGGAGGCAGTGGGAGTCTGGAGCAGTAAGCTGTAATTGAACTTAATCGTGCTGTGATTAGTGTGTGTGTGTGTGTGTGTGTGTGCAGTATGTGGGTTGTATTTTTTTATGTGAATGCTCTCTGGTCTAGCTAGCTTGGTCCCAGGATTTCTGCCTATTTAAATCCAGACTAAACCAAGCCTTTCCCTCTTCTCCTCTCTTTTCTCCTCCCCCATTCTCCTCTGTTTTCCTCTCGTCTAAACTCTGGATTTGCCAGATCCACATCTCCCCCAGACTTCATACTCACAGGACTGACAGCGGCCCACAGCAGAAGACTCCTCTGGGAAGAACATTGATCCTGTTCCCTTGGAGATACCTGACAGACAGATGTACATTTATTTAGATAAATGATCACATTGATCGATGACAGACAGACTTGGGTTGGTTTTTACTGACAGCTCTTTGAGGCCGGTGAGACGATCTAGCAGGCTGGTATCGAGAGAGGAGATGTGGTTCTTGGACAGATCTCTGCAGGAACAAACCAACAGATCCACATTTAAAAAGCATTGTAAAAACATGTTAAAAGTCATTTCCAATATAATGTCATTGCTTGGAGGCTAGAAAATTAGTGCAAAGCGAGACATCGGTCATATGAACACAGTCAGTGAATACACCACTAACAACAACATGGGATTTTTTTGATTACACTGTTTCAGTGAGCTTCCTACTTTCTCCCAATTTACATAGCAGCATGCAAAGTTATTTCTTTTTCTTCTGCCTATTATTTGAAGAGAGCTAGTAGACAGTGGCAGAAAATATAATACAGTCACCCGAACACCTCCGGTTGCATAACCTCAATTATTTTTTCATTAACTCATCTGCCCTGGAGGTCCCCCTCCTGCAATGTCTGTTTAAAAAATGCAACCTGTTTCATTTTGCCAAGTGAGATATGTTCAGCAGAACCGGTTCAACAGCATCAGAGTTTAGTGATTTATTGGTGTAAGGCCGTTAGTTTACGGTTTTGATTAGGGAGAATTTAAAAAACGTCACTGATGGCTGTTTTTTCACATCTCACTTTGGCCTGTCGATAAGGATAAGGTGACTTGCTGAATTTGAAAATTCTCCCAAGTGTCTCTTATCTATGGAGCCTGAGGCTGCTCATTTTGGCGGTGCAGTTTTTGCAGCTGTTACTGTTGCTGAATTTTGGGTTGTTTTTTCAGGTGGAAATGTGAAAAATTAAAAAAAAAAAAAAAGCACAGGCCTTCAGGGGTTATAATTAAATAGTGGAAATTAACTAAATGAAAGAGGAGCTGCAGCAGTGATTCAGTGATGCACTTGCATGAAATTGCTTAACTCACAAGAGGAAAAGACAAAAACAGAACTGAGGCTGCAGAGGTAGCGATAAGAGAGGTTTATCAAGAATGAATATCACCCTCCCTGCATTGCAAATGTTGTTTAAATCCCCATGTTCTTGATTTTTTAACAGACTTCATGTTTAAACTCTGAATCATCAGGATGATTTTCTTAGAATGTAGAAGAATGCGCTGTGTATAAGCAGTATTATGTAAAATATGCAGTCCTCTTTCAGAAATTTACTTTTGTGAAATGTTATTTAGCTTTAGACCTTCACCGTGGATGAGAACATGTGAAATGCCTACTTATGTGATAGTTCACATAGTTAAGTATCTGACTCACTGAGATTCAACTTAAAATCATACAAAGTGAAATAAAGCCGTGTGTGCTGCTGGGCGCTGAAGGACCGGTAGAATAAAGAGGAAACAATACTGTAAATGTCACGCTCACATGGTATCTTCATTCAGTCAACATCATGGCCAGTTATAATTTTTTTCTGGTCCTTTCTGCTCTTATACAAAGTAGGTACAACCACACTTACAAGCTTTCACTCTTTCTTTTTAAATCAGTGACAAGATGAAAGCAGAGATGAAGTTCGAACCAGAAAACAGAGTTCATCTTGGCACAAATCAAAAAATCATCTGTAATACTTTTGGTTACTTTCATATGATCAAATCTGAGGAATAAAGACTCAGATGAGAACAAGGATATTTGTCACACACTTTTTCTACTATATCAATGGCCTGCTTTTCTTCTTGTTCGATATATATATATATATATATATGTTTTTATAAGGTTCTGCAATCACAATAAATCCCGTCTTCACTTCTTAACATTATCTGACAACATTAAAAATGCACATTAATGTGATCAGTAGATTTTTAAAGCCATTACTGACATACAGATTTTCATTTACATGAAAAAATAACATAAACATGTGTCTTTTTTTTTAAGAGTCCTTAAATTTGATTATCAAAGAATTGCAACAAACAATGGTATTTTTCGATACCAATGCCTTGTTTCTTTAAAAATCACAACTCCAACTTACTGGTCCAGCTCTTATGACGATTAAATATGATTTAAGACTTAATTACACAACAGCAGATATTGTTAAAATATTTGTGCATCCTCTTGAACAGTCAATGTTTAAGTCTGTTTAATCTCAGCTATTATTTATTTATTTATTTTTTTAAATTAGTTTCAGTAAATAATTTATCATTTATTCATTACTTTCAGCTCTGAACTGCTTGAATATAATTTTAGTTGACATCATCAATTATTTTATTTAAGTTAACAATTTCAACAGTTTATCTGTAATTTTAGTTAGAATTTTCAAATTGTTTATCAATAATTTAGTAATATTTGTCCAGCTATTTATCTATTGTGTTTAGCTAACAATTTCAACAGTTTATTCATATGTTTAGCTAACTATTTCAACTGTGCATCCATAATTGTAATTATAATTTCCCAACTGTTAAGTCATACTTTAGCTGACAATTTTAACTGTTTATCCATATATTGGAATAGCATTTTCCAACTGTTTATTGATATTTTTAGCTCATCGTTTTAGCTGTTTATTCACGATTTTAGCTAACATTTTCCAAATGTTCACCCATTATGCTTCGTGAACTATTTCAATAGTTTATCCATATTTTGGAATAGCATTTTCCGACTGTTTATTTATATTTTAAGCTAATAGTTTTAACTGTTTATTCACGATTTTAGCTAACACTTTCCAAATGTTCATCCAATATGCTTCGCTAACTATTTCAACAGTTTATCCATATTTTGGAATAACATTTTCCTACTGTTTATCCAATGTTTAGTTGACAGGTTCAACTGTTTAGGAATAATTTTAGTGAACATTATCCAGTCATATATACACAGTTTTGGCTAACCAGTTCAACTCTTGACCTATAGGTCTTTATTTTAACCATATGTTCATGTTTTCATAATTTCTTATCTATTTTAATGATGTGTGCTTTACATTTGGCTACTGCTTATTTTTAGTTAATGTGGAACCAACTAATCCTCAATTCCTTCTTTTTTCATACTGTTTACATTTATCCCCTGGCGACTGCAGAAGTACCCCCTGGGGTACTTGTATCCCTGGTGGGGTACGACCACTGTACACTACATGTTGTTAACAAGATGTACTGTACAGTAGCTAAACATTTCCATGCCATAATCTCCGACCTGGAGTTGCAATCAGTGGAAAAAACCAGCGGATTAATTACTAAGGAAGTCAGAAAATTGAGTCTGCTCAGCTGTGGATGTGAGCTGCCGAGCCGAGTCTCCTCTGTGTGCAAAGTTTCAGCTGCACATGAAAATAACGAGACAAAAGGGAGAGAAAAAGAACAAATAAAGAGCCAAGAGACGAGAAGCCAGAAGCTGCGAGATGACAAACAACACCACGAGTGAGAGAAAAGACAACAAGACACTGCCGGTCTGCAGAAAAGCCATAAATTCAATTTTTAAAAGGCGCATTAGTGTCACATTTCTGCTCTCGGCTTGTGTATGTTCAGGAGACGCTAATTTTGCAGCAAAGAAAAAAAATGTAGAAAGACAATCTGCTGCAGAGAAAATATGAGCTGGAGTGTATGGGACTGTGCGCTCCCTCTCTTCTCTCTCACACTCTTTTTCTTTTTGTGTGAACAGACCAGGACGCCCGTTCCCAAAAGGAAACATCTGTACATTCCAGACAAGCTGTGTAAGAAAGATGGAGACCGAAAAAGAGAGAGAGAGAGAGATTTCTCCTCTGCTAAACCCATCAGAGGATGAAACAGGACAGCAGAAAGACGCTCCACCCACCAGATGATCATTCACACATTAGTCCGACACCTCGCTTTATGTAATGCTCTCAACATCAAAGAATGTGTGTGTTGTACATATGAAAGCCGTCTTTCACACCTAACGGGCAACGTCGCACGGACAAGAGGAGATTAAACAGAGAATGTGCGCATGTATGAGTGTTTAACATGACCATATAATGTGACCTTCACCATGTCTATTAGCAACAGACTCCCGTTCTCTCGGCTACCTCTGGACACACATGGTTTTACTTACGCACACTTGAGGTATAGGCCTGCACACAAGCGCACACACACGGCACACATATGGTTCTGGTTTGCGAACGGTGTGGCCAATGATCTAACAACTCCTTATAAGGCCTGTCTGGTGCCACTTATTCTGAGCCGGAGGATGAGAACACACACACACACACACACACACACACACACACACACACAATCTCTCACACACACACACACACACGCTGACTGACACAGGAGGAGTGGGCATGGCCTCTGGAGGCAATGCAGGAAAGAATAAATCTGAAGCGAAAAGGAAATGAAAAAGACAAAGAAGGCTCCTAAGGAAGATTGATGTCTTCATCTTCAGTCTATCTGCGCAAAAAATAACAAGATGATGAAAGCTGCGTCGCAGGACGGAGTGATGGCGAAGGGGTCCAAGTCCCTGCGAGCTCAGGCCGGCGCTCCACTAACCCACTAAACACAGACTCCTCTGTGGTCGCTCTCATCCCTCCTCAGCCTCCCTTCCTGATTCCTCCCTCCCTCCCCCACTCACTTCTACTGATTTCTCTCCTCTTTTTTTTCCTTCTGGTGCTGCTTTGTTTACATTCAAAGGCTCTACAGGCCTGCGAGAGTCTGACGGGAAGGAGGTCGGAGTTACGAGCGATGGACTTGCGGGAGGAGAAGGCAGGTGTGAAGGTGAAGCAGAGGAGAAATTGTTGCGGGGGGAGGCGGCAGCAGTGAGTGACGCAGGACAGGTGTTGGGAACAATCGCCACGCTGTGGGCTGCCTGTCCCGTGGGGGCCCGTCCGAGCTCGGCCCAGCTTCGTCTGAGAGCTGCCAGCCTGCATCTCAGGGCTGGGACGGGGGTGACAGGGGTAGTTAGGTACTTTCCCCGCTGCGTGAGGAAACAAGAGAGGGAGCATGAAATTAGGGGAAAGGGGCAAGAAGCTGGGGAGAAGGTCTAAAACTTTTAGCTTCACAGCTCTCCTCTCCCCTTTAGAACATTCTGTCCATTTTTCCAGCTGCTGCTGCTGCTGCTGCTAGTGCTGCCTGGGTTGTCTGGTGTCCAACTGGCAAGCGAAGGGCAGCTGTGTGCAGCGGTTTTAATACACTCACTCAAGGAGCGATGCACTCGCACACGCG